AAGGCTTCCGACTACATCCACACCTTTGGAAATGTTGCAGATTCCTTTTTGAATCATCCCCAACATGTTTAGATTTCCTCAATCCATGTGTAAAGGTGTTTGCATTTAGGTGCTCTTTTAGGATTTTAGTTTTGAAACCTTTATGGTACTTTTTTGTTTAATGATGTTCTATTGGCTTTTGATGGGGTAATATACTACTCATTATTTATGGCTGCGTGATGGTGTGGATTTATCTATGTCAGAGAATGGAAAGAGGAGGATGGTAAATGTGGTCCAATGGTTCATAGACTACAGGAAAAAACTGGTGGGCACAGTAAAAATCTTGGGCCTCATGCACACTGCTGTTATTAAATTTGAGTTTAGGAGCTTTTGGTGTTTTTTTTTTTGCCAAGGCCCCTGAACTCAATAAAAGCCAATGTGTCCATGTACAGATACGCTTTTATCAGAGTTTAGCAGCAGCAGAGTTTAAGGGCAGATAAACGTCCCTCTCCTGAACGCAGAAGAATCATGTTCAGGAGAGGAACGTTTTGGCCAAAAGACTGCCAAATGGGGCAAAAAACGGGTGTAAACGTGCCTAAGCAGTAGACGCATTCAGTGCTTGGGCTTAAATTCTTTTCCATCGCAAGTACTCTGGCCAATGAAATTAATTTACGCCCAAAAGTGGTAACACGTTTAGCGCTTTTCTGCTGCCAGTAGTGTTAATGTCAACGGCAGTTCCAGTGTACATGTAGCCTTAGAGAGGTCCAAAAAGAATGAGAAATAAAAAAACTGTAACTGTCAGATAGTCTTAGTCACTGAAAACCCATCCATCACCCATCACCCATCCATCACAAATGTGAAAATATATAACTTTTAGGGCTTCTGTAAAAAATGCCAAATATGCCACATTATTAGGTGTTCAGGCCTTTTTTTTTTTTTTTTTTTTACTGATCTGAATGCAGCCCATTGCTTTCACTGGACCTGTACACAGAGGCATGTAAATATTAGTAAACTAGTGCCATGTTTAGATCAGTAAAAAAAAAATAATCTGCATTACTGGTCAATATTTTACTTGCGTAGGCACATAAAGCACATCTCCTTCTTTAGTAGTAGATTATATTGGTACCGTGTACATGGACCCTTCGTTTATATTCTGCAGGAAATGTATATTACACACAATAAACTAGTAAACTTTACGTATCAATTCACTGGCAATAGGGATTCATCTAGCTCTGGAACCTTTTTGTATTTCCATTGAAATCTTGCTGTAGTAAGTCATTAACAGCGATCTGTATAAATGACAATAATTGAATTTACACAAGGAAATATCTGCAGCATGTAGATATTTCCACAAGTCATAAACCGGCTATGAGAAGATTTCCTGTAGTACAGACCCAGGAAATTGTTTAATTTATAGTCTTGTAATTGTGTTTTCTGTTTCTTATCCACTAAGCATTCTGGAATCTAACTTGGAATTTAGAATTTGCTGGCTTGCTTACTGTAAACAAATCTGTTGTTATACATAGCCTATTATATGCTCATATTGTATGCTGAATGCATTTCCATTTATGTTTCTCCCACTGCTTTTTATATTGTAAATTTTGAGCATGGTGGAACACCAAGGGGTCGTGTACACAAGCAGCTGCTAAACTCGAGTTTAGGAGCTTTTAGCATTTTTTTTGCCAAAGCTCCTAAACTCAACTCCATAAAAGTCTATGTGTCCATGTACACATAGGCTTTTAGCAGAGTTTAGGAGTTGCTGCGTTTTAGGTGAGGTTAAACCTACCTCTCCTGAATGAAGAAGGATCGCGTTCAGGATAGGAACGTTTTTACCGCCGGCCGCAGGAAAATGCAAAATCGCTGTACCGCTTTTGCCGCGTTTTGCACTTTCCCGTGACCGACGGTCAGGGTAGGCTCGTGTACATGGAGTCTTATACCTGCTGACCATTTTCCTTTGCTCACTCTTGGGGCTCCTTCACACGGGAGGCTGGGGTGAAGTAAAAACAGGTGGTTAGGCCCCAGTTTTTCTACCACCTGGAATCTCACCTAAATTCTAGCATTACAGCTGGTCAGGGTTGTACACATGCAATTTTAACTTGGCGTGCAGAGTTTGACAGTCAGCACTGCCCATCAACTTGCCAATTGAGGTGACTTGGCACGCACCAAAACTGTGAGCCAAGCAATTGGCATGCGGTTACTGTATGATATTTTAATACAGAATCCCCCTGGGGTAAAAAAAAAAAGGAAAAAAAAAAAAAAGATGTTTAGGAGGCAGCAGGGTTTCCAATGCTATACTGTCTTCGGAAAAGTCCAAGAAAAAATGTAAAGATATCCCCCTGGGGCTTTGTATGGCAAAGAGCACAGTGAGTATACAAAAGGTATAAAACCGTAAATGTTTATTACAATAAAATAGTTTCTATAAAATGAATCAGAAGATTCTATAAAGTAGGTTGCAATACAATAATTGCAATTCAAAACAATAGTTCATAGTTCACATACAAAAACATACACAGTGTGCATAAGACCTGACAACAGACTGTAATACATCAACTGACAAATGGGCTAACAACCCAAAAGTGCCTGTACAGTAATGTTGTCCAGACAAATCCAACTTGTTTTGGAACTCGTGTTTCCTTCTTCAAGGAACAAGTATGTCAGGTCTAAAACATAAAGTATTCGATAGATGTGAACAACATAATACATAGTATTACTTTAAAAATATGTGAAACAAAGCTGATTACTCAAACACTTACAAATTGCACCATATCGAATAATGAATGACAAATATTTGTATAAAATTGAATGAGGATGCTCTCCGAATGACACGTCAGGAAGAGGGCAGGCAAGGACCACGTTATAACAGCCAATGAGTGGATCTGTAAAGTATAATAGAGGCCATAAATAGTAAAAGAGATCTGCTATTTGTTATTTATCACAAAGGGGTAATCTACTATATAGCTCAGACGCATGAATTATTAATGTAGGGGCTCAATTCAAATATATAATATAGTAATCAATAGCCTAGTAAGTCCGACCTAGGTAAAGATAGCAAAGAACACATTTGTGAGCCTATCTCTAAACAGACCCACCCCCCACTAGAAAGAGAGCGTAAAAGGATATTATAGAGTGCTCACCAATGGTATTGCTGTGCTATCACGTGGAGCCACCTCATGATGATCCAAGGGAGATAATAATGGGAAAACGGCTAGTGTAAATAGTGGTAAGCTGATACTGGTAGGCCAGTGGCTGATTGCCTATATTTGGTGCCAAATATAATTTATCATTGAATTCTCTCTCTGTGTTGCTGCACAAAGGCAGCCCCATGGCCTCAAATAGCGGTCCACCAGCCCCGCGAGTGCTCAGTGCCGCCCCACCCACCCACCCACGCACTGAAGCCACGCATGAGCACGATGACGTCACGCATATGTGCGGCGCGCTGCCCACCCGCATGTGGCGTCGGTGGGTGAGGTGGCACCACGGGGCCGGGGAGGGTTTGTACTTTTTATCCAGCTAGTCTTGCGATCCAGGCACTCCTGGACAGCACAGCGAAGCTCTAAGCTCCATGAGTCAGAAACACAACCTTGTCTAAGACCCATCCCAGCCTGTGAATGGAGGAGCATCAGTACATTGATCAGATAATGTACTATGGCAGATTTTGATTATTATTATTATACAGTATTTATATAGCGCCAAAGGGTATGCTCAGCGCTGTACAGTAGCAAGGGGGACAGAACATGAGACAAGACAGTAACAATACAATACAATACGAGGGTGATGAAAAGCTGCCATACACGGCTCGAATGTTGTTTGATTCAGCTGAATCCATTGAACTTTGAGCCATTGGTGCCCCTGTTTGCACCACCTGGATCAAAAAGAGTCGATTGTTCAGTTGATTTTTGTCAGAGGCACCAGGCAGAAAATTGTCGGCTGAACAGTGCCTACATATAATCAGATGCAGTACTGCTTGGGTATTCTGACAGCAAAAGTTGCAGTTGTCAGAATACAATAACCAGAAGGGAGGATACTTCTATTAACACTGTTTAGAGTGGATTTAGGAATCTTCTAGGTTTCTTTCACCCCTTATCTGCGAGTGTGTGCCCAGGTTTAGAGAAGAAACAATATCTGTATTAAATATTCATGTTTACGTCTGCTTAGTTATCAGCTTCAAAGTAAATCTTGAAAACCTAGGAAGTGCAGCTGGTCAATACATTAAAGCGATACTAAAGGTTAATTTTTTTCTTTTTTAAATAACAAACGTGTCTGTACTTACCTACTGTGTGCAATGGTTTTGCACAGAGCAGCCTGGATCTTCCTCTTCTCAGGTCCCCTGCCAGCGCTCCTGGCTCCTCCTTTCTGTCGGGTGCCCCCATAGCAAGCAGCTTGTTATGGGGGCACCCGAGCAGGTGTGTTCTCAAGCCCCTGCTCTGTGTGTCCATTCACACACGGAGCTGTGGCTTGGCCCCACCCCCCTCTCCTCATTGGCTTACTGGTTGTGATTGACAGCAGCGGGAGCCAATGGCTTCCGCTTGCTGTCTCAGCCATTGAGGAGGCAGAGACCTGGAACAGCCAAGGCGGTGGTGCACGTCGCTGGATCGCGAGGCTCAGGTAAGTATTGCGGGGGGATGGGGGGGCACTGCTGCACACAGAAGGTTTTTTACTTTCAGGCATAGAATGCATGAAGTACAGTACTGCACTGTGATATGTATGTTATGGTAGCGTGCGCTTTACTGTGCATTAATGCAACGCATAGGTATGAATAGTTCCTAAGAGCCCATTCACATGTTGATGCTCCAATGCCCTAACCAATGCATTTTAACATGAGCTGTGCCATAGATAACATATGTCAGTATATTGTGGTGCCCTGTAGTGTGGATGCATTGTTCTGGGGTGCCATGCAAAATGACCGGAGCTTCTTGCAAAATTAAGGGATGTTATCTTTTAGAATAATGATTGATTATCCAAATACATGTCCTATTTTATAGCCATATAATGATCCTGTTTTCTCCTTTGTTGTTTTCCAGATGGAACAGATTAAAAGGGCCAACAAACTGTTTTCCACAGATTGTATTTTCCTGAGAAAGTCACTGAACATTCCAGTTATATCAGAGAAGACCTCCCTATTTAACGGACTTAATTTATTGGACTCACCTGAGACTGATTCTCAAGAAGATAGCAATATTCAAGGGGAAGACATTGTTTCTTCCCCAGCTAAGAATGCATCTCCACCTAGCTCTCCAGAATCAAACCGACCCATAGTTACACAGGATGAAGAGCTGTCTGCCAAAGACTTCCTTCATAGACTGGACTTGCAGATAAAGAGGTCTACACAGGCAGCCAAAAGGCTAAAAGAAGAAGAATACCTCAGGTAAACCGTTCAAACAGAAGTGCCCTAATACACTATTTAACAAAATATATTCTCCACTCCAAGGTAATAGAAGCCTCCTTCTGTATTGAAGGTTGGATTTTTACAAACAAGATAAGATTCTTATGGAGTACTGTATATCTGTATAGGTCAGGAGCCTCCATTTTATAAAGATTCTTATGGAGTACTGTATATCTGTATAGGTCAGGAGCTTCCATTTTATAAAGATTCTTATGGAGTACTGTATATCTGTATAGGGCAGGAGCCTCCATTTTATAAAGATGCTTATGGAGTACTGTATATCTGTATAGGGCAGGAGCCTCCATTTTATAAAGATTCTTATGGAGTACTGTATATCTGTATAGGGCAGGAGCCTCCATTTTATAAAGATGCTTATAGAGTACTGTATATCTGTATAGGTCAGGAGCCTCCATTTTATAAAGATGCTTATGGAGTACTGTATATCTGTATAGGTCAGGAGCCTCCATTTTATAAAGATGCTTATAGAGTACTGTATATCTGTATAGGGCAGGAGCTTCCATTTTATCGCCCTCGGGCCACATCTGGTCCCACTACAAGATTGTATTTGGCCAACATTTGATAATTACAAAGGACCTCCTGCGCTTATATGGAATCCTAACCTTAAAAGAAAGCTGCTGACACTAAACTTATACCCAAAATAAGTGAATGATCAATTAAATAAACAGTGCAGCGCTAATAAATAATGTATATAAATATCCAGTGAATAGGTGATACAATAAATAAACTCAATAAATATAATCAATATACACCCCCTAGGAGTATATATCCAAACTCATCAATAATTATATAATAGTGTCATGCGTGTAATCCCTCATAGGGAATATCTAGTGCAAAAAGGTGACAAATATAAACATAAGACAATATAGTGGCAAAAAACATACAGTGATCAAAATAAGTGAACCAATATTCAGTTGCAAAAAAAAAAAAACTGGACTTTTTTTTTTTTTTGCAACATCTGATGTAACCTCAATGTGCAAAGTTTGAGAATTCAAATCAACAGAGGCTTCCTACGGTCTCTGCTTCTCCTGGATGGCTTCCTAACAGCCAATGACATGCTTGCTTTGGTGTAGGCAAATTGTGATCTCCTTTGTAAGTAAAATTAATTTAAATATTTTCAGTTTTTTAAATTTATCAGAAGTATAAATAGACTTTCAGAGAAGAAATTGAAAGATCAGAACTGTATTGAGGGAGAAGGTGTTATGTTATTCTGATACCTGCTTGGTTCACACCTACAGTTTTTGCTTTTGATCCATTTCTGCAGTTTTGCATTTTTGCACACGCATGCTGCACACTGTTTTTTGATGCGTTTTTTATGCTTTCTTTGCCCAATTGCAGATTAAAAAACACGTCAAAAACGCCCTACATGCTTTTCTGCAGCATCTCCATTGAAGTCTGATGAACCGAAAACAATCCGTTTTGCATTTGAAAAAGTCCCTGACCCTTTCCAAAAACACCTCAGCTGAAAAAAAAAAACAAAAAAAATGTAAATGTGTCCCATAGGAAACCATGTTAAATGGACTGTAGTGCATTTCTGCGAAATGCAAAAAGCACTAAAGAAAAACATAGGTGTGAACCAGGCCTTGAGAAGTATCATTTATTTTTCCTAGGTAAGGTTTTGAAGAAAAGTTTTAAACTAAACAAAAAAATTTCCATTTTATTGTTCAAATATTTTGTTCTGGTTTGTTTGCAAAAGCTCCTTTAGGCCTTGTTCACACATGCAGTGGTTCTTAACAAACCTCTGAAAAGCAGTGGGGTTGATTTGCTAAAACTGGAGAGTGCTATATCTGGTGCTGCTGTGCATGTTAATCAGCTTCTAACATCAGCTTGTTCCTTTAAACTTTGACAAAAAAAACCTGAAAGCTGATTTCTATACAGAGCTGCGCCAGATTTTGCACTCTCCAGTTTTAGAAAATCAATCCCATTGTTTTTTTTCTGTGTCAGCCTAGGTTTGCACTAGTGCTGCCGCATTATCATGCTTTTTCAGTGTGTTTTCTTTTCTTGTTTTTACACATATATTTGATGCATTTTCATGCATAGGAGACTGGAGTCTGAACACTAAACCCTGCCTAAAACACACCAAAAATGTTTATACACATGTTTTCATGTGTTCTAATTGAAGTCTGTGGGGCCAAAAAAAGCACAATGTTCCACACCAGAAAATGCACCTGTACTTTTTCAAAAATTGCAATTCACCCTGTTACATTAATGTGAATGAGCGCCATGGGGAATAATGTAATATCCATTGTTGTGCATTGCAGCACAAACACAAGTGAACTCACACTAGCGTGAATTGGGCCTTCAAGTGACCCCAACATTTCATATTTCATATAGGCACACTCTCACTCTGTTCTACAAATGTACATTCCAAATAGACACAAACTCTCCTGCGCTCAGAGACCCAAAGGAGGTGGAAAGATGGAACCAGAACTTGAAAAAATTTGACCACCTGCGCATATGGGGCTGTGGAGCTTCAAACAAGGCTGGGGAAGCCCGACCAATACTGTGAAATAAAAACAAAAAAGAAGCGCACCAACCTTGCGCATTACCTTGGTAAACCAAATTTTATTGAATACAAAAATATACTCACAAACAATGAAGTATTTCAAGCATGTAAGTTCTCAGAGGAGCTCTGATGAAGAAGGGACGCCCTTCGAAATGCGTCAGCTGTTCCCTGAGTGTCCACCCCTATGATGGGACTCGCGCAGGTTTTACCTTTCCAAAGTTGCTCTGAGAACTTACATGCTTGAAATACTTCATTGTTTGTGAGTATATTTTTGTATTCAATAAAATTTGGTTTACCGAGGTAATGTGCAAGGTTGGTGCGCTTCTCTTTTTTGTTTTTGCTACAAATGTACATGCACCGAGTGCTGCACACACAGCCATGGTCAACCACTGCTGAGGAGGAGAGGCATGGCTTTTGCTCTGTGTCCTTCATGTACTGCCTGTGTGTGTGTGGGACTGGGACAATGCAAGTACAGTTGCAGAACAAAGCGGGAGTGTGCATGTAAAGAGGACTCCTACGGGGCTCCATAGGTCCCTGCGACACGGGGGAACATATAGAGTCAGTGTGTCTGGGGAACACTTTCAAAAGTAAACAGAGAAGGAATTTATTGGGGAAAAAAACAGCAAATACATGTAAGTTAATCTGCTTTAAAAAAAAAAAAAACTTTAGTGTAACTTTTAAGGTAAGAAAACTAACATTTAGTAGGACTTTAAAGCCTATCTTTGAGCAAAGCTAAACCCACTTCCACATGCTTAGCCACAAAAAACGTCTAGACCTAAATGCAGCAATGTAATGTGTTCAGGAAGTCCACCACCCACAATCTCATCTCTGCTATTTACCGTTTAGAAATGTTTTGGTATAGTTTACTTACAGCACTTCTGCAGAGGAAAAGCTGTTGTTTTACCTCTTAGGCTACGTTCATACTAGCTTTGTCAGCAGGCGTCAGACAGGTGTTTGGGAAGCGTTTTTGATGCTTCTCAAATGCCTGTGAAAATTCTGCTCATGGCAGCACACAGTGTTGTTCACACCGAAGCGTTAGTGTTGCGTCTTGGCAAAACTGGCACCTCATGTGGAGTCAGGAGGAGTTGAAGCCTCCCATTGAAGTCTCTGGTGCCACTCCTGAAATGCCTGGCAGGTGTTTGCGGTGCGGTTGCGGAGTGTTAATACCATTTAACTTCATTATAGGTGTTTGTGGTGCGGTTTTAACGCTTGGCAAACGCCTATCAAATGCCTCAAAACCGTGCATGGGGCATTTGGGGAGCAAAACGCCTAACGCCTGTCAAATGCTATAGGGGCGTTTGGCAAGAGTTAGAAATAAGTCAAGTGTGAATGAGCCCTAATAAACTGCATTGGGAAGATAGCAGACACAATTTTATTTTGACTTTGTGATTTAACATTTGTGTGGCTTCCACCTCCACGTATAGCTATGTATGATCTCGAACCATCTTATGGATACAATAGAAGCAAACACAAAGCATTCTGGAATATACTTATTTTCACCAGTAGGGGACGCTAGACCAGCATATGTGAGGCATAGCTTTGAGCAGGGAGTGATATTGTTTGTCTGAAAAGGAATTTCAGTAGATTTGTTAACATTCCTGGCATACGTTTTGCTATTAGAAAGGCAGTTGCGGAGGAAACATTGGCATCCATTAGCAGGAGGCATGCCAGTACACTGCGGGATATCGATAAAAATACATGGACTGAAAATCTGGCAATCTGAACGCTTTACTAGTAGTATGCAGTTTTGCTGATGACTTCACAAAGAAGTAATGATTCTGCAATATAAGTCTGCTCTTCAGAAAAACATAGGGATACGAAGATGATGGTGTATCCTTTATGTGACAGCATGGAACAAGGTGATTGCTAGAATTGTTAGCCCGTTCCTTGCATCCTCCTGAATGTCTGTGTTAGAAATAAATACAACTACATGACTGTTTGGCAGAAAGCAGACCCGTTTGGTGGTCCCGTATTTATATAGTGTCACTTTGATACTTGCAGATGTTTGAATGCCCATCAGCAGTCTTCAGAAATAGATGGCGGTAAGGAAAATGATAACTAAATGAATGTCTTATTCATTTATCACGTAGGGGAGATGAGGAGTTGATTGCTCTTTACATATGTCACTGCTAGTCATGCATGTCACCTTGCATTCTGTCAGAAGCCATGCAAACTTGCACATCCGTGAATTCAATTAGAACTCCTAATAGATATAAACCATCACCTTCATTATATGAAGATGACAAGGTAGACAGCTGGGGCTGGGGAGATTTAGTTGAATGCTGGCCATACACATAATGATCAAGCTGAACTCCAGGCAAATGGCTAAATATACAGATGAAATACATGTATGGCAGCTGTTTTTCCAGCCAAAGGTTTTGTATTTTTTTGTGAGGTTTACAGCTCTGCCCCATAGCACAGTCCTGAGTTTTGTCAGCTGTAGTTCAACAACACTTAT